ACAGGACTTATTCTATAAAAAGTCTAAGTGGTTAGCAGTGTGTGAACAGGTCAATAGCACAGAAAGAAAAACTGACTCTGGCCATTGGTTTATTTTCATATAAAACCTAATATCCCCTTCCTAAATATCGTAACACAGCAAAGTTTTATTTCTGGTGGATTTACGATGAACAGACAATTTGATGAGGCTAGTTTATCACCATTACAGTCATCCCGTCGTACTTATCTGCACTATCGTCAGGTTCTTCCCTGGTCAGTGTCATCATTTTCCCTCTAATGATAATGTAGTGTAGTACCTAACCTAACCAAACCTAACCTAACCTACAAAGAAGTGACCTGAGAGTTTGAGTACCGAAAGATACGGTAATGTTAGCTTCATGGAACAGCACTTTTTTTTCTTAAGCGTCAACCCTCAAAAATTGGCCTATTGGCTCTTAGAGATTCCTGTAGAACGTAACCTCGGCACAATGTTCTCTCTACCCCACCAACTGATATCAATCCTCTTCAAGGCAACATATTGAAGACGGTAATATATGTATAGGGGACTTTTGGTAATCTCTTGGAATGCCCCTAACAGTTCATATGAAGACATCAGTGTTCTTCCAGTAAAGTGATTTCGTCTTAAAAGTTTCAGTCTTAAAGAATCCTTGTCCGAAAATTTTACTTGACTGTTTCGCTTTCATAAAGCGACCCATGTTGTCAATTACCAAGAGTTGTGGCCACTTTGTTTATGTCTTGCAGGCTGGGGTTATTGTTTAAGCCACATGGTATACGTCATTGTTACAGCATATGTTAAGTTTGAATATACGTCAGGATTGAGGTATCTAAGGTCTGTGCTACTCTTATTGCTGACACGCACACCACATACATAACACATCCGCGGTAAGGTAGCAGACGTATGCCACCTCCTCAGTGTTAATCTCTATTTCCTCTGCTGCTTCCCTTCATGCCTTCAGATTATTGTCATCAAAAGTTAAAAATAACGCCATCTTATCGGAAGTCTTGGTTGTCTGGCCTTTACCAGCCACTTATTGTCAACAGAATAATGTCAGTTCCTCTGTTTGAAAGTCATAAGTGAGAGGTCATTTTTCCAGATTTATGTCCTATAAGCATCGTGTAAACCTTAAAATAAATTGTCTGATTATTTTCCGAACAATAAGCAGCTATCTGCACTTTAAATAGTTTCCCTTGTACCAGTTCAACTAATATATATATATATATATATATATATATATATATATATATATATATATATATACATATATTATACATATACATATATTATATATATATATACATATATTATATATATACATATATTATATATATATATACATATATCATATATATACATATATTATATATATACATATATTATACATATACATATACATATACTGTATATATATATATATATATATATATATATATATATATATATATATATATATATATATATATATATTATCAGTGACACGGATTATTGAATTTCTCGTTTCAATTTCGTTTATTAAATTGTCGGTTGGTTACATAACCATTATTTTCCCATATTTATGTACTTGTATTTAACAACTGTAATTGCCTTTTGTTTCCAGTTTTTCATACAGTAAATTTTCAGTAATATGAAGCTAACACGTTTGTTTAGTTAGTTATTATTTTTCGTTATTAAATTATATCCATTTCACCAAACACTTCACTCAGCCAGGTAATGATCCATTATTGTCCATAATACATGAATACGTTTGGACTTACAGTACCTTAGGCTTAACCCCAGGCATTACAAACACACAACAAGAACCACAACGGCCAGGCAGCTGTCACGGAGCTCTTGATCAGGAGTGAGTAACGACTAAGTGATGTGTACATACATAGGCATCTCTCTAACTCCTCAAGTATCCTTCGAGGTCATTCAACACTGGCTGATAGTCCTTCTGTATACAATGACACATCACGTTCAGGCAGCTACACTTAGGCTCCTCAACCACCTATAAGCCTCAAGTGAACCAATGATGAGGCGGTGTATTGGAGCCTCGGTTAGTGCTCAGGACCCAAAGCTTAGTGACGTGATCATGCGGTCTATCCACATAGAGAGGAGGTGTGAGCCGCGGTATATAACTAAAATGTAAAGACTGTTATCTCTAGTATACTGTAAGATAACCAAAGGAGTGTACTGGAGACCTGCACCTAAACGATACTGAGTTTAGAGAAATATGCGTTATGCTGACCTACATATTTAACATTAATTACAATCCAAGTACAAAGTTGGTACTATTTTTTTAAATTCACGTAATAAAATGTCAAATAAATACGTTAAAAAATTTATCAATAAAGCGAGATTATGATTAGAATTAATTTACAAACAAGATATAATTCTTCTTGCTTATTAGGACAAACAATAGAATTTCTAATTACTGTACTACTGTTACTCTCGTGATGATGTTTACTTCTCGTACCAAATATAAAGCCGATGAGTCAAGTTGTTTTCTGCTGTATTACTCACTAGGGAATATTTTCTACGGAGACATAAACGCAGGATGTGGTTAGTAAAGCCTTCATCATTCTCTGTACAAGTCTGGCTACAGCGATCACATCCTCATGGGTATCCACTTCAGGACCTGTCTTTATCTACATGTTATTTGCTGTATTAAAATTTTACACGGGTAGATTCTCATGCCATTACCGCAGCGATTACTTGAAACGTGTGATTTCTTTCCACTAGTAACAGCTAAGCTAATCGTGCAAAGATCTACGAATCTTGTAAAAAAAAAAAAAAAAAAAGCCTTACCGCATTTGTTCTCGATTTTTAGAGACTTTTTTGCTATTGTTTTTTTTTTCATATATATTTTAATTATGTCTTAAGATAAAAGTACAACTCGGCGGTGGTATAGAACCTATTTCGTTATATTATATAGCATACGGACATGATTCCTGGATTGTTCACCGGGATTGTGCAGCGTGATAGTGCAACTTGATAGTGCAGCGTGATAGTACAACTTGATAGTGCAGCATGATAGTGCAGCATGATAGTGCAGCGTGATAGTACAACTTGATAGTGCAGCGTGATAGTACAACTTGATAGTACAACTTGATAGTGCAGCATGATAGTGCAGCGTGATAGTGCAGCGTGATAGTACAACTTGATAGTACAACTTGATAGTGCAGCATGATAGTGCAGCGTGATAGTGCAGCGTGATAGTACAACTTGATAGTGCAGCGTGATATTACAACTTGACGTGCAATGTACAAGCTTGAGTGTAGTACAACTTGATAGTGCAGCGTGATAGTGCAGCAGTGATAGTGCAGCGTGATAGTACAACTTGATAGTACAACTTGATAGTGCAGTAGCGTGATAGTGCAGCGTGATGGTACAAGCGGTGGGAGTGCGGCGTGATGGTGCAGCGTGATGGTGCGGCGTGATGGTACAACTTGATGAGTGCAGCGTGATAGTGCAGTGTGATAGTGCAGCGTGATAGTACAACTTAATAGTGCAGCGTGATAGTGCAGCGTGATAGTGCAGCGTGATAGTACAACTTGATAGTGCAGCGTGATAGTACAACTTGATAGTACAGCGTGATAGTACAACTTGACAGTACAGCATTATAATCCAACGTGATAAAAATGAGAAACTAAATAATTCTCTGCTTACAGACAATAATATGGGTTTGATAGATGTCTGAAAAAAATATTAATGTGTATGTTGTCTTCTCGAACATTTGCAAACTGATAATAAATACCCAAGTAATTATGGGGATTATATTGTCTTTCCGTCTATCTGTCTCTTGGTCCGTATTTTGATCTTTGTGTCTTTCTTCCCGTCTATAATCTATGAATATAGAGTACAGTATGTGGTACAGGTATACACTTTACAGAGCACCAAGCATAGACGTAGCGTGTAAAAAGTACTGAATACACTTTTGTTGTATACGTAGCACTAAGTATACTGTATATGTAACGCGGAAGTAACACTAAATTTGTGTAGCGTATACACAGCACTAAGTATACATATGACGTGTACCTATCAAAGTGTATGTGTGGCGCGTAAATGGCACTAATATACTGTAAGAAGTATACATGTGGCATGGAGATACGACTGAGTATACAAGCACTGAGTATACAGAGTATGCATGTAGCGTGTACATAACTGACTAAACATGTAGCGTGTACATAACACTGACTAAACATGTAGCGTGTACATAACACTGACTAAACATGTAGCGTGTACATAACACTGACTAAACATGTGGCGTGTATATAGCTCTTAACATTGGCGGGAGTTCAGGGTAGTTCAGGCAGCCGCTTAGAACCTAACGACGTTATTACTGCACTTCAACAATTAAGGTCATTAAGCGTGTAATAAGCGTATTAATTACATTCGCCCGTCAACAATTAGCAATTAATGAATGACAAAAGTCATTGTGAACTTTCTCAAAAGTTCCTGATGTTAATCTTTGTTACTCCGCCTTATTCAGACATGTGAGATGATTAATGAATTAAACCATTTAATAATCTCTGACACAAAGACGGTGATTAAATTGACGTATTAACTTCAGTGCGACTCAACAATAAGAAGGAACGTTATCCTGCAGTTACGAGGCAAGTAGTTAACTTCGGTTAATTTCAGTGCAATTTACTGAAAAATGTTCTACTCAGTCAATGTGCATCGTAAGATACCTGACACGCATTCATTTCTTGACATTAACCTACTTACTCCTCGAGTTATTTCTCCCGTCCTAATACTGCAACACTTAAAAAAAAATAGTTAAATCACACTATACCATCATTGAAAGTAAAGAAAATTAACTACTGTGCATCTATGACAAAGGGTGAGTGTCCTGTCAGACTGCTTTTCGTGTACCGTTCCTTATAGACAATTACGTTAACCTGGAGAACAGCCTCACTCAGCCTCAGATTCTCGTCCTTGCTTCACATCCATTAATATTTCCTTCTAACACTTGGATAGCACATCTCCCAGATCATGGCACAGACCTGTGGGTGACTTACCTTGACGGGCGACGGGAGGTGGTGTATGAGGCAGCGAGGGGAAAGCAACAGGTTAAATCGGCAGCTGGGCGTTTAAACGTCCCTCGTCATAGGAAGTTGCCAGTGAGCGCCCTTTTCTCCGTCCACCCAGTTCTCATCATTCTGTTGATATTTTGTCTATGTATAATCATTACCCAACATGTCTGCATCTTATTTCTAGTTAGTGGTAGATGTAGAAGTCTAATTTATACAAGAGATAATGAAAGAAAAATAGATAATCAACCTGTGGCAACTCGCTCCAACACGAGCGAGGTGGCTGGCGCCGCGCAACCACCTCTACGCATAGCCTCTCCTTAGGAAACACATAAAAGTTCTTCTTGGTGAGACGTGTGTTTATCATAGTGAAGAAATATGAATTAGAACCGTCATATTATACCCCACCTGAGAGCGCCTAGTCGCACGTAGCCCAACTACGCTCACCTTATTTTTTTGTGCGCGAGCGCGAGAGAATTATTAGTAACCTTTACCATTGACCTTCTGCTGTTGATGAATCTTGACTGATTTGCATGTTCAATTAGTCTCTAACTCTTGTTTTGGTATTACGTAATACACTTGCGATATTGAGTCATTAGTTACATCATTTGTTCTTTCTACTTTTCTTATCTTACCAGAATGCTCGCCTTACCAAATTTATTAATGGGTTTTACAATTCTGATTATGCAGTACACGTTGTCCACGAAAGAATCATAAATTATTTGTTCCATTATATATGTTCTGTAGGTAATATATGTATATGCTGTTTGCATGCATATATATATATATATATATATATATATATATATATATATATATATATATATATATATATATATATATATATATATATATATATATATATATATATATATACATACAAGTAGGTTAATTGCCGTTTTGCGATAACTGCTTTGCAATTATCTTTTTGGGAAACTTCTGACTGGCCATAAATTATCATACCTAATCTAATTTAGGTATAATTTTGTTATCTTTTGAAAGTAAACGACGCCTTAAATGAAACAGAGCTTTACCATTTATAAATTAATTTATCTTGATTTATAGCAATTAAAATCAAATGCTATCCATACTCGGCAAAAACCTCAGCTGCATTTTAAGGCGTTATCGTCAATATATATATATATATATATATATATATATATATATATATATATATATATATATATATATATATATATATATATATAATTTACATACATATACCATGAACGTTTAGCCTCACCAAGATTGATACGAGTACTGAAGTTTTAGTTTTATTAACTCTTCTGCTATAGAATTAAAAACATTCTCAGTTCTGCTGCGCATGGACCTTATGTGTTCATAATATTTAATAACTAGTGTTTGGTCGTCATATGAACTTGGAAGTGAACTTTTTTTTTCAACGGGGCATTGAACTTTGACCTATTTTGAACATATTATGCTATTGACCATCACGTGAACTTACCACTGATCTTTGAGCTTAAGTAACCAAACTACTGAACCTTAACATTAACAAAGTCTCTCAAATGTTTATGGTCTTATACAGAGTTACTTCTAACTTCAACTTTATATAAGTTTCCTGCCACCACTCTTTAACCTTACAAGTTTATATACAAAGTGACATGGGTATTAATTTCCAATCTATATTATTTATGTCACTGACTTATGCGTTATCAGTGGAGCAATAGTGAGTGACCTTTGACCTCATAACTACAGCTAACCTTTGAACGTGTACGTGTGGTGTCGCCATTGTGCGTGATACATACATCTCTCTTGTCTTCTTCTTCTGCTTCTTGCTTCTATTAATCATTTCTCTTTTTGATCCACGTTATCATATCTCTCTACCATTGATAGTGTTTTATTATCCATATCTATATTAATTTAACTCGTTTCATTTGTATCTCTATGACTCCTTTTATCACTACTTACATCTCTCTCTCTCTCTCTCTCTCTCTCTCTCTCTCTCTCTCTCAGCATCTGGTTATTCATTTTCTCTCTTTAATACAGTTTCTCTCCCCATCCTTCCTTATTAGTCAATGATTTTCGTGATGCTTGTATCTTTCCACGAAGCCTCTTTACTCTTGTTTACAGATCTTGGTTTATTGTCTTCTTAAGCTCTTCAACTTGCAACTAAACGTTTTCCTCTCTATCTCTCTCCCATCTCTCTTCTATCACCTCTCCCATCGTACTTCTTGTGTTTCTAGTTGTCTTTTATTTCCTAACTCATTCTTGCTATTGATATTTTTTGCCTTATTTTTTTTTACCAAAGTCATTTTTCACGCCTATGTCTGTTATATCTATATTCATCTCTGCAATGTTTTATTTTTCCTCCTTTTGTTTGTTATCCTTGCACGTTCATTCATCTCTTGTTTATTCTTTATGTTTGTATGTTTCTCGTTTTTTCTCTTCTCATTATATATCTTGTGTAGTTCTGTCATCTCTAAATTATTATTCTTTTCTTCTATTACAGTAGATTCTTTTAGTTATCTCTGTCTCTTTTATCTCTTTTTTTCATACGTCTTGTGTTTTTCATTATAACTGAATATATATTATATCTTCCTTCTTGTTAGTTCTATCCATCAACCTTTTTCCATGTCTTTCCTTTCTTAGGTTCTGGATGAGTCAAGTCACAGCCATTTGATAATTATTCCCATCCTGTTGACTGATCGTTTACCGTATATTTTTTACTCCTTCACACAAATAACAATCTACAGTGTAACCTCTATTTAACGGACTACATAGAGTAAATTCCGTTATATCGAGGGACTATTAAATGTGAATCTTCCATCTGACAAACTATATAGAGATGAAAGTCCGCTACAACGAGGGTCCGTTAGATGTGAAACCCCCAACTAGCGGATTATATAGAGAGAGAAATCCGGTATATGGAGGTTTTACTGTACTCACATAAACGAAGATAAAAAAAAAGTTGAATAGACGAGAAAAAGGTAAAAAAGAAGTCGTTTGTGACTGAAGAAGTGACATATGAAGCAGCGGAGGTATACGTTTGTTTATACACAATATTTATACTACTTGACACGCACCTGATCCGTCGGCTACAGTATGACAGAGATACAGTATTTTATATCTTTACAGCAAGGAGAGGAATGTATTATTTTTCATGAGAGAGGACACACTCACACATACATTTAAGTAAATGAAAAATACTCTTGTGACTGTAACAAACCATAAAACGTTATCATGCTCTTAAACTAACTGGGTAATAAATATTGCTCTCAGGATGATTATTTTTTCAGCTGTTCACTTATCAACCCAAATATTTTCTTGATATTAGGATTGATCGGTTAATAATAATGTAAATAATGTAAATAATAATAATAATAATAATAATAATAATAATAATAATAATAATAATAAGTAGTAGTTGTAGTAGTAAGGGCGTTGCTAATTTTACCATCATTATTATTGTAATTATAAGAATCATATTACTGACTCCCCTGACGCTGTGCTTAAGGTAGAAAATTGTCACATCTTTGTTAATGTTCTAGTCACATCTTTTTCCTCCAACAACTGGTACATTATTATTACCTCTATATTGACCAAATAATCCGCTCAATCACTACATTACGTAACTAATCAGTATATTGCCTGTGATCAAAATAATTAGTTACCTTAACACTGTCTCATTTAGATAATCATTTGTGTGATCAATATATTATTATTATTACCTGATCAATATACTACTTAAGGATTACATTTAAAGGTTGTTATGACATTTGAGGATGTTATTGAACCGGAAAAAGGTCAGAGTTACCTTTGTGCCCCACCCATGCCATTACCTCCCGTGTGGCCACCAGACGCTACACCAACACAGGGAGTGAGGTGAAAACATACACCCAGTAAGAGAAGTCATAATATAAATAACAAAATTAGAAAACACTCACTATACACAACGGGAGTCAGATCATCTTGAATATAACCCACAATATGGAGGAAATATTTCCGTTCCTTTAAAGTTCTTTTCAAAAATCTTACCACAAAATAATTTATTGTCTTTGCATTAACGGTAAAGTAGATTGGCCAAGATAGTAGAATTCTGTTTGTTTTCGTTCTGAGTGTGTATATATATATATATATATATAATCAGAATAAAACTATAAAACTTAATTCCACTACAGGGTTGATAAAAACACAAGACAATCTTCCTACAGACTTTTACAGAAACAAGAAAAGTTATAAAAGAAAATGAAACGAAGTAAAAAATATTCCAGAGAAAAAAAATAAAGGGACTGTCATAAGATGTGTATTGCTCGCCAGGAAATGTGAGGCAAGACGTGGCGTGTCAGGTTAACTGTGTTAGTAGGTAATTAAATTTTCTCTATACGATATTACTCTCCGTACATTCCTTATAGGACTGGGATCACTGAAACGACCACACTACCACCATCTACTAATCCCTACCAGGATTATTCACACCCTGGTACCACCACCACCACTTGAGTACTATCCCCCCCACCAAGCCCCGGGATAACTATCTGGATACGACCGCCATCCATCCCCGGGACAACCACACCTGTAAATCAATATGACGACCACCATCTGATCTGGCGTCAACCATGTTAAACGAAGTACAGCATAACCATTCAAGGAGGCAGAGAGAGAGATAAGACAGAAAAAGATAAAGACATAAAGAGAGAAAGAAAAAAGAAGGGAAAAAGAGAAAATAATAAAGAAAAAAGTGAAATAACATAAGGGAGACAAGTTGGGAGCTCAGCCACCTACTCAGAGTTAGTTCATTTCATCGATGTCTGTCTCCCGGAAGGTGTGTGTAGCTGGTGACAAAAACGTCACTGCCACCTAAAGGCGAGGGAGATGAACAGTAAGTGTGTGTGTGTGTGTGTGTGGAGAGACAGCTTAGAATGGCGTATCATCCTCACCTCTCCTCCCAACTTACTAACTGAAATAGCTATACTTCACAAATTACTTGGACTACCGACACACCCAACAATCCCAAGCACCAACCTGTCTATATAATACTTTCAGGCCAAATTTTAAATCAATCCATTCAACCTCTGGAACGTTATTGAGTGAACACCATAGTTAACCTGGACGGAGAGACGAACGATATCACGGTTATGTT